ATCTGTATTTTTATTTAATTTATTAGAAAATATGAAAAAATATTGGACTGAGGTTTCGCTAGCGTGTTCTACAATTTATTAATATTTACAATGATTGGAAAAAGACTAGTACCAATGAACAACTATATGAGTGCATTTTATAACAAAAAGTAGATAACAGTTTCACATTGCTAAAGAATTACTGAAAACAACATTTTTCAAAGGTCTTTTGAAACTGGTAGGATGGAAAATCCGTTATGTTTGAGTGATGAATCTATTGTTCATATATGTTTCAATAACTTTAAAAAGTTGAAAAGAAGCAACTATAACAGTCTATTTTTGAAGCATTTCTGGTCATCTTGAATACTTGAGACCGAACTCTTACTGAAAGTGAGATTTACTAAAGTACCTACTCAAATATTTATATTGAAGAATATGTAAGGTATGTGTTCATCGCTATAAAAGAAACTATATAGAGCGTGCTATAAAAACTACAGTGTGTGAACACGTACATTTCGTATGTTGTTGCCAAACTACTATCTGAGGAAAAGTTACCAGATAATTAAAGGGGGACATAATGAAGAAATTAAAAACTTTATTGGAGAGAAGAAATCTGAAAATAAATGTTCAACTACAATAGCTAGAGAAGCAAAGTGAGAGGTGCAAATTGAAACTGCATTTTTTAAGATACCTGAATGATGAGGCATATAATAAAGTAATTGAACCATTTTTCCATGTATGCAGCTAAAAATTATGTTGGTACTTTTTTATAAGGAGTTCAGGCAAATATGTTAGTAATGGAACAAGTAATAGATCAGCGATACAGAAAAGGAAAGCGGAAAAGCACGAAATTTTTTCTTAAAAAAAGGAATTGTAATAGACTTTTGATGTCTTTTTTCTATGGTGTGGCAATAGTGACAGGGCTTGCTTTTGTACTAAATAAAAACTTATTTTAAATATTTATTTATAGTATGGTTTAGGTTTTAATTAGATGTATTTACCTATCATTTATTTATTCTAGGTTTATCTAAATGAAATATATGCCTATGTATGTATAGCGTGTCTTTTATTTTTCATGAACTTTCTAAATAAACCCCTCAATTACATCGAAAATGGAACATACTGATAATTGTTTTTTTTTTTGTTTAGAAAAAAGTAGTTTTTACCCATAAGTTTCTTCTCATGGGTTGTAATCGAAATTGCAGATTTAATGAAAACTGTAAATAAAGGATTTTGTTTAATGAAATATAATTTGATAACTGATTCAAAGCAAATATTTTTTGGCCAAACTGTACCATCAATTACAACTATTGCAACCAACATTTAAACCAGTTTATCAACAAATTGTTTGTATATGGTCGGTCCTCTCAGTGCACATAGTACACAGTTAATATAGGTAACTTTTTTTAATGAAAAGTATCGAAATTACACAACATCAAGAAATTGTTTTCACGTAAATAAGTGCAAATAAACAAAGTAATATAACCAAACGGCCGTTGAAATTTGACGTGAAATCTGTAAATATCAAACATTCAAAATTTCCGCCAAAATCTATCCACCGACCGTCTCCGCAAAGTGCCGAGCGCTCCCTCGGTTTTGTGTCGCCTTAATTTGACAGGGTGAATGAAATAGAGATTGTTCAAAGCGGCCGCATTACATGAGGCCATTTTGTCTCCCCAAGTACTCATGTAGTGTGTGGAGCTGTGTTTTGTGTTGCTCATTGAAAATCGGTTTAGCACATCCCAAAAAATAAACGCTTGACAGATTAGGAATGCCTACTGTAATCCTACTGTGATGCCTATTAGCAGAATCAGCGCACAAATGCTACCCAGTTTGAGCAATCTATATAACTATTTATATAACATCACTGTCAAATTGTAACTGTCGGTTGTCATTGGAATGCCTAATAGGGACTGTCTACTTTCACGCCAGCAAGTAATAATAGAATTAGGAAATTAAATTTGACATGCATGTCATGCATTATTATTTAAGTAATATTAAATTTTATATGGCGCTTCCTAATAGTACTGAATCTGATAAAGGAATTGTTATAAGGTTTCTTACTTCTTGAATGAGTTAAACCAAATTTGGTAGATTTTCACAAAACTTTTATTTTAAAAAATAAAAATTAAAAACACTACACATGTATGTTTCGAAGTACAACTTTTTTTTCAAATGTGACTAATTTACAATTCGGTATCCAATATATATGCGAAATAATTTAACAAAACAAAGTACTTAAGAAAACATCAATAATATAACAAAATAAACTAACTATTTAAAGTAAAGTACTTTGTTCTGTTAAATTATTTCGCATATATATTGGATACCGAATTGTAAATTAGTCACATTTGAAAAAGAAGTTGTACTTCCAAACATGTCATGTGTAGTGTTTTTAATTTTTATTTTTTAAAATAAAAGTTTTGTGAAAATCTACCAAATTTGGTTTTACTCATTCAAGATAAAATGGATTTTCATCAAGTAAAGGCCGAAACAATAAATAGTTTCTTACTTCAAAGACTCATACAAAAATATTGCTATTAAAATATTTTTATTAGAGTGAGCCACAAAAAATGTTTCTAAAGTAGACCATGACAGACAAGGACAGAGATACGAGTCATGTCAGTGATAACTACACACAGCTCTAAATTACATCCAAACTGACACTTAAAAGAAAAATAATCGTTCTATCAGATACGCATTAATGTTTCCAAGACCTATTTTAGAAACATTTTTGTGGCTTACGCTTTATTTTACACTTAACCAACACTCTTATCAACAATAAGTTTACATAATATGAAACACTTGTTATTTAATATTGTTTTATCAGAAAAGTGTTTTTTTTTGTTTTTTTGTTATTTTTTTAGTCCATCATCATCTACAATGTAACATGCAATATTCAAATTTTCAATTTTGCAGAACATACAGGCAATTGTAAAAAATGGTTATTTTTGTTTTAAGAGTAACGTGTCCCTTATTTTTTAAAATATTGAAAAAGTTATGTTATTTAGTATAAATAAAATGTTTAAATGCCTTTTCTGAAGCTGTCATGATACATAACCGTGAGAAAAAAAAAACAAGAAAAACCAGAAGCTACACATTTTAATATAAATGTATTTTTTGTAATAAGAAACTAAAAAACTTTCGATTTCAGTAATTTAGACATCTACGTCAGACGTGTAAAGTCATATTTTAATGTCCACGTGAGAAGTGAACATGTATTTCAAATTTACTTAATATACATACGCGGAACGGAGTCGTATACAGATCCATAAAAATATAACCTAATTCGCCTAGTTAACATCAACCTACAAAGTTTAAAACTGTTTAAGAATTTGGATCTACACAGGCAATAGAAATATGTATTTAGAAAAACCCTGTTAGAAGGATAATTTAGTATTTAGTATACCTATTGCACTTACAGTTAGCTACCTATATTTATGACAGGATTCAAAATAACCGTATGTAAAAATTAAACTTCTATCACTATTCATTAGCTTCCTATCTTAAATCTGCAATTTAAATCATTTAGGATTGGGAATCATTGCTAAACTAAGATTATTATTTAGGTTCTCTATAATTTCACAAAATAATTGCTTGGCCATCTTCAAATATCTGAGGTAAATACATACAGTATAAAAGGTGGTTCTAAAACTTAAATACATATTATTCAGTTGAAAAAATATTTACAGAAGAATAATAAGTGCCCATCCTCTATCATATCAAGAATTACTTAAAATATGCATTTTTCATGTGCATATAACTTTTGTTTAAACATTGTTTGCCTGTATATAACCTAAAACGCACTAATGGGACTCCTGATATGTAATGTACTTATCGTTTTCTTGCAAAATATGAATCTGGCAACATTGTTAAAAATGGCCCCAAAAGTAGCGATTAATATAAATAGTATTTAAATTAGCTCCGCCCCTTTGGACTCAATGAAGTCAATATATATCAGAAATTCAGTGAGACCATTGAGGCCAGGGACCCAATGTGTCGAATTGGACTTGAAGTGTCGAGTTCCTATAAAAATAAGGACTCAATGGTGCCACTTTAGGTATATATATATATATATATATATATATATATATATATATATATATATATATATATATATATATATATATATATATATATATATATATATATATATAAAATTTTAACTTTTGACTTAAAAGTCTTACTCAGATTTTATATTCTTTAAATTGTAAGTTTACATCCACAATTTTTGTAGATAAGCACTGATGATGGCAAAATGCCGAAAGCGTTGCATTTATTAATTAAAAAGTTTTGCACGAAATACAAGTCTTTCCTTTTGAGAATAATGTTTTTGTTTATATATTTTTGCTTTATAATAAATGCAAACCTTCTTTTTTAACTTTGATACAAGAGGGAGTAGCACCAATTGTTTTTTCAGTTTTTCTTTACATCTAATTATATCACCCTCTGATAAGTATGTTTTATTTTTGGTACAACAATATCCAATTTTTATAAAACTTTTTTTCTTATTTCTTAAAAGTTAATAAAAATGAAGCTACCCCCTTTTTGCAGCTTGCAGCAATGTCCTCAATTGAATTATCTTACCATAAACATTTAGATAAAAAAATTTAAATTTCTTTAATTGTTTGTTGAAATACAGCTGATATGGGACCTTCATCGAATAAAGGTGACCCAGAGAAGAATTAAAAGTGCAACCCGATCAGGAAGTAGAAGACTCTATAAAATATATACCTACCCCCATCTATCCTTAATACTATAAGAGGAGACAGATTAACTGGAAAAAGTTCCATTGAAAAATCTTTTTAAAATATTCTCACAACTTGTTCTTCATCAGCATGAATAGAATTACAAAATGGTTGATTAAATATATCACAGGAAAAATTGGAGTGTCGAAGCGTTTTCAAAACATTTAAAATATTTTTAATAATAATTATTATTTATAAGTAGTTTATAAACTGTAGAAAACGAAGCCTCATCTCATATTAGACTATATTTTGTTTACCTTCTTTACAACTTACCTGCATAAGTTACGGTTCCTAAAACAGATCTTTCAGCTGCAGGAGCCCAGCACCCCAGTAATGTATGCACCAACGGTGCTATGCCGCCTTGTGCTAATCCTTGAAAAACTCTACATACGATAACACCTATTGATCCAAAATAACTAGCCATCGTCGGTATCAATAGAAAAGACGTGGAATCCACGGTAGTACACACGACTAGCATCCATTTCGGACCGTATTTTTTTCCTAATTGAGCTACTGGTACTTGTAACAGGATGTATCCATAAAAAAATGCAGATAATACTATGCTTTGGTTTGTCCAATGGAATGTCTAAAATAAATTAAAAATAAATATTCTACAAAATATAACGGGTTTTGGTAGTAGTTTCGGAATTGTTTAAATTTTCTAGTAAATTATTTATTATACAAACGAGTTTTAAATTTTGAAACTCGATGAAGCTGGAGTGTATTCTTAAACTCAGGCAAGGGCGGCTCCAGGGGGCCTATAGGGGTCATGGCTCCTCCCGAGATGAAAATTCTTATGATTTATGAGCCTTTTATTCAAAAAAATATGCTAAAACGGGAATATCTAAAGGCAATTGCCCCCTCCCCCAAAAATTCATCTTGGAGCCCCCCTTGATTTCAGGATGACAAAAAATATAAGATTTACAGAAAACAAGCAGATACGATCATACAGACATACTTTGCTTAATCAAAACAGGCAAATCAATTCTACTTGACCTTCGGTTTTCATATGAAGAGAGCAGGCGGCGAATCGGCAATGGACAAATTTCAAATTTCCGTCCTTCTTTTTATAAAGTTCGCGAAATTGACTGTAGTTGGCATGTCGAATAACAGCGGTGTCAATTTTCTATATAAGTCAATGTAAAATGAAGTGACTTTTTTAATAATTGGTGAAAAAAATCAAAATAATGTGATAAAAAGTACCTGAGTACAAGTAACATGAGTGACAAAAAACATCAAAGGAAGATTTACGTCGTTCCAGATTGTAAAACAGGATATAAATCAAATGTAAAACTAAAGGAAACACAAGGAGAAATCAATACATTAAATTTAACTTACTAAAAAAAAAAAAAAATATTTTTTATAGAGTTTAAATGTTAGATAAAGAGTTGCTACTGTTATTTTTTTGTTGAACCCCAATTTTGTTATTGTTAATGTTTTTTATAGGATACTAAACGCTTAGAACAGTGGCAGGATATATATCGTTCCTAGTGCCGATAAAGCACTTTCTAGAGATGATGCTGTTCTACACTTTTTAGAAGATATTATCAAATATTATGAGACTATTTTTACTGATGGTACTGTTAGCAAAATAAAAAGGGGAAAGCTGAAATTAAAGGATTTGGTAATACATGCAAATACCCAAATCTCTCTTTATTCGCTCAGTGCGAAGTCATGATAGGAGAAGCAAAAGCGATACTAGCGCTAGTTACGGATAATTCGTGCATTTTACGGCGATATTTTGTAATTTTAGCATATCAGATACACGTATACATTTTACTTTTTTTTCTAAAAAAGTACGTAAAAATAATTCAATAAGCAACCGGAGTTGCTGTGTTGAAAATTGTAAAAATACTGGCAAAAAAACCAGTGAAAATTATAAAAATTTTCAGTAGCAAAGTGGAAATTAAATCAAAGAAATAAATGGATAGCTGTACAATAAGAAGAAAAATTACCTTTATTTTTGTAATAATAACAGTAATACTGGAAATAGTAAACATCAAAATCTTAAAAGGTTTTAAATAAACAAATTATTATTTTACGATGTTCTTCAACATCCCTTTATTCTTCAATGTTCATTTAGCAAGGACTAGATTTCAAGATTTCTGCCTTTGATTATTGTAAGTGGCTGGAATGCAATTTTGTGACTTCCTGATAGGAACCAGTTTTAATCATTCATTATATGTTTTCTTTCGAACAAAAATAAAAATATTAATAACACCCTGTTTATACATTTTAACTTCACGCTATTATTTAATGGTATTTTTTTAATTTGACAGAATAGGTTAATTCTTCAAAAATAACTTATTAGGCAACTTCTCATATATTTCCCCGTACATACTGTTGCCTGCCTATATTTTTAGTATTGATTTTTATTGATTATGCTTAATTTTTTTTTTAAATTAAGTGATAAAAATATATAATAATAATAATAATAAATTAATGTTTTACTTGTCTTACAAATCCATATACATTTATTAAAACTAACATATATACTTTTTAATTATGAATTCTATTAAAAATTGTATTTGTCAGTATACGCAGAAAAAGTCCATTAGTACACTAAATGAATTGGCGCTGCTGTCACGCACAGAGCGAATACTTGCATTACAACAATAAAAAATCTGTTAACTGTGTTTTATTTTGCGCTTAAAACTATAATACTATGTACCCCAACTTGCCTGCGCCTCACGGTAGCAATTGGCAAAATCTGGATGCCTTCATGTGGAAGACCAGCAGTTTCTTTTCCTCTGAATGGTTTGAAGTGTTTTGTTTTGCATGGTCGGAAGAACCTCCACTTCATTTGTTAAAATTTAACCACATTTTCGGTGTGGTTCTTTTATTTTCAATTATCCAAGCTGCAAGTTATGGTGGAGACTTGGGACTGGTCTGTTGCTGTCCTTTTTAATTTAGTTCACTTTTCATGTTTCTTCTATAGTTTTTGACGAGTAAGTGTACAAGTTTTTGTTTTTATTCAATGTTAAGTAATGTTACGAGTTGATTATATTGTTACAGCTATGTTTTTTCTCTTTTATAGAGTCTCTGATGATGGCCTAATAGGCTTGAATAAAACTCAATTTTACACACTTTAAATACTCTCGATTCATTTCTTATAATATATAGGTTAAATTTAAAAAAAAATTGCCACAAAATTGTACTTCAAATTTCAGCATTTAATAAATCTTTTCGAATTTGGTCATATCTACCTAATTTGGATTTTATATAGATAAAATTAAATAATTTATCAATTAAAACATGCAAGACTTATTTAGAAATAAATACAACAGTATGTTCTGTGCTTTATTTAGCTAATTTTTATCATTTTGACAAAATTATATATAATTCCCATAAGAAGCCATGTATTTTGAACACCGTAAGCCCATGCGGTCAATTATGAAAGCTCAATTAGCGTGCGTTTTTTAAGACCGTCTTTTGAGTATGCCGATTCGCCTCCTTATCTCTAGGCTTCATAGGTTTTTAGCTTATCGACAATACAAGTAATAGCGGGCTGGGCACCAATTTAGAATCGCTTTGCTTTTTTGGAATTCATTGGCATACTTAGTGGGATTTCGAATGTACACTGTAGGTTCTTACGGAGAGAACGGTTAATAATTGAAAAAGTCTGATTAACGAGTAGGAAACTGCTGTCCAATACATAGAAGAACTGATGACATCGGTACGCCGAAAATACTGTACATTAATTTTGGGGCTTCGGTCATCAGGAGATCGAAGGTAATAGGCTTACAAAAAATAGATTTAAACTCAACACCATAGGCGCCGGAATTCAAAAATTGCTTTGGGTGCCCGGCTTCTATGCGGAAAATGGGGGCTATCCTCTCCCCACCCTCCACACCTCACTTAAAGGCTCCACCGGTTCTTTAAAAAGCTATTTTAAAGTTGATTTTATAAAAATTTTCTTGAAAAAGAAAAGGTTTTGTAAACTGTCCAGTTGCTGGATAAGCTGGAGGCTCCCACCTAAAACGGGATATCTGGCAATCCTATATGCTCGGTGCAGCCACCATTGGTATTTTGAAGGTATTTTTACATAGATTATAACCCCCGAGTTTTAAATCGCTTCTGTCTTCCTAGCCATGATCTTTTAACGATTTTTATTTTCTGTAAAGCCTACCAGTTACTCGAGTAAATGCTAGAAATGCTGACCCTGGGCCTCCATACAATAATAGAGGTTTTGTTCAAAATGCTCTCGGACATTTTGAAGCATTTGTCGGGTGATTTGATGACATTCATCAATTATCCGTTTTCGCAGATTTTTTAGTGATATTGGCTGTGTGGCATAAATTTTAGTTTTTAAGTGGCCCCATAAAAAATCCTACGGGCTTAGATCCGGAGACTGTGGGGGCCACTCAATACTTTCTCTTCCGATCCTGGAAACTTTTGATCCAAATACTGACGAACAGTGGCGCACCGTCATGCTGGAAAATTAAGTTGTTTGCTATGTACTGATCGTCATTCTCAATCAACTCTAGTATTGTTGGATAAATAGCGTTTTCTAATAATTCCAGATACATTTCTGCGGTTAAAGTTTTTGGTAAAAAAAGGGGTTCATTATACGGTTATCAAAATGCCAGCCCAAACATTCAGTTTTTCCGGATGTTGCGTATGCACTTCATGAAATAATCTGGGATTTGAATCGGACCAATAACAACAGTTGTGATGATTTACTGTACCATTTAGGAAAAAAGTGCATTGTCTGAATAAAACACGTTGAAAAGAAGTTGCTGATCATTTAATGCCCGTTCAGTCATAATTTCACAAAATTGTAATCGCCTGTCAAAATCGTCATCGTTAAGTTCTTTTACCAGATGTATTTCGTGGGGATGAAACTTGTGTTTTTTCAATATCTTCTGAATGTTACGTCTCTTAATACCAGATGTTTATCGCCAACTGTCTTTTACTTAATATGGGTTCTTACGTTATTTGTTAGCTACTGACTCCGTTTTCTAAAATGTTTCGACTAACTTCAAAATGTAGTTTCGATGGACTTGTAGATTTTGATGTAGATTGTTAAACAATTAGGCACTTCTATTAGCATATTCATTGTTCGCAAAAAAAGTTAAATTATTTGCACCCTCTCAGCAATAGAAGTAAACCATTATCACTGATATGTCACTTTTATGCCGATTCTACAACGAAATAAACTAAACCTTACTACTTTACGGCGATAAAAGAATGTCATCTGATAACAATAATTGAAAGCCACAGAAATAAAAGTAGAATTTGTTACAAAAAATTCCTTTTTTTTTTAATAACAATGCAAAAATTATGTTAATCCGGTTTTGTACTTTTGGTGAGCCACTGTATGGGCTACATAAATAGTAGCGATGTAAAACTTGGGGGCTATTATCTAGGTAAAAATACCTTCAAAATAACATATCATATTTTTTAGTAAATGACCTGGTTTCTTGCCAGCAATACTAGAGAGAGCTCTAAATGAACGTTCTTTTCTAACGGTGCTTGATCGGGAGCACCTTTCAAATGTTCTCCCTTCTCTCCTCAAGCATTTGCATATGTACAAAGATGTTGTCTTGATAATTGTAGACCGTTATTAATCTTTCTTTTTTGACGTCACAGGGTTTTATACAACAAGAATAATAAACCCTTAAATCCAAGTTCAACGCGTTGTCTATGACAAGTCATGTCGACTTTTTTATCACAAAAAATACAGCTCCGAACGATAATATTTTATTGAGGCATCTGTCGCTATACCAACTTGGGCCACGACAGCTTCTTCATTTTACTTATTGACACTTTTTGTCCTCGTTGTGCTATGGGTGCTTCGCACCCTGTTTAAAACTGCTCTGGGTGCTTGCGCACCCAGGGCCCCGGGGATTTGGCGCCTATGCTCAACACAACCAAAAAATACAGTACGAGATTTCATAAAAGACCAAGTCTGGACAAATATTCCAAAACAAGCACATGTATATGAAGAACGTTTTTATAAAGAACAAGATAAAATTTCTCTCAGAATAGGAACCACTAACAGGCAAATATTAACAGTAAAAGGGCACCTTTTTAGTCAGTTATGCCATAAGAAACAGGTATGAGCCAAACATATATTGTGCGACTTTGAAGTTAATTTAAACATATATAGACGCAAAAGCAGGAAGGGACCTGTTCAAACCGAGATGTGAAAACGCAATCGAGAAAGATATATACTCGGATGTCATAAAAAGATAGTCCGAACAAAATGAGAAACAGATATTCGTCAAAAGGAGACGGTAACAATTCGTCGCTGGAAAGACAAAGAGGTATAACTTCATTTTAGCTATTTTAAAGCAGACGCAATTAAACTGTGTATTGAGCAGTCAGCAGAGCATACTGTGGCGCCATCTGTTCTCCTGACTGAAAGTTGTACAAAAACTTATGTAATTTAAAATATTATTCTAGGCAGAATATGTCTTGTAAATATGCATTACGTCTTGCCTTAATTTTTTCGCAAAGTGATATAGTAGACGAATCAATAATTTTTATAGTTTTACCGAAATTTCGTCAATGGTACTATTTATATGTCTGGAATAAAAGTACAGCTAAATGCAGAATTTACAGAAGAAAATAGTTTCGATGCGTTTTACCATTACCTTACTCTCATTCCTGTCTGTTTCTTGACTTGCTGGTACTAACACCATGCTCCAATACATTTTTTTAAGTCGCTGCAATTAAATATCTATCTAGCTTTAGAACCTCCCGAAGTAAATTTTGATGTTTTTCTTTCCTAATCTCTATCCTTCTTCTGGTTTTCAGCGCCACTTAATTTTTTCTTTACCTCGCCAATCATAACACAGATTCTGGTATAGCTGCTAAAATGACAATGCTACTGTTTTGGGTATTTTCCCTAGTAAATGTTAAACGCAATAAAATACGTATTGAAATACGCGATGTTGCCTCGCTCATATGTTTATGTAGAGCTTTCCATTTCATTACGAGGCGGCGCTAGCGCACCGATTTTCATTCTTACTTGGCAATTATTTGGTGCCCCTTGGAATTTTGCGCTACAAGCTCTGACTTGGTGAGCTTGTACTATAATACGCCACTGGATAGTTTTAATCGATGTATTTCCCAATTGCGTTAATTTCCCCTTGATATTTTTTGAATATTTACCATAACTTTCAGAGTACTCAGTTCTAGGCCTCAGTTCTGATTTTGAATTCATCCATATACCATTGAATGGCATGCTTAACTAATTGTTAGTTATTGTTCAGCCGCATTAAATAAATAAATGGTTTATTATTTGAAAATTTCAAGGTATGATACTTATCCGACGAAATTTCAATCTGTGATGGCTATGAGCAGATTAAAATTTAATTTCAAGCGCTGTTTTCGATCACCTGACATCTCAAATTTGCATAATATCTTCTTATAATATACGGATTCTATTATACAAAAAATTGTAATCAAGTATAATATAAAGATCTGCTTCATTTTTCAATAATAAATACTTACTATTTTGGGGTGCCTTAATGTTATGTAACCCGTTTAGTAACATGTTATTTTTCTCACCTCTATATCTGTGTTTGTGGTGGTGGAATTATTGTTCATAGCAACAATAGCTACCGAAAGTACCGTCCTCATGCAGTAAGTGTATGTCAAAAGAAGAAAATAAAGGAACACCTGAACATGGCGAACTCCTATTAGTGGACCTAAAAAAAATAAAAAATACTGTTATTTCAAATTCTGAATATTTTTAATTTTTAATTTGTGAAATTTTTTATTTTTATTTATTACAATATCCAACAGGGTTGCCCCTAATCACAGGATAAGGGGTCCTATGATTGAACGTTTACGTTATCCGTAACGTACATGTTAGGCCGAGTTTTAATAGTAATGAGGCAAGTTCGTATGATGGAAAACTTTTTCCAATAATATACTGTTATTTTCCACCTGTTATGATCTAATTTAACTGTTTTCCATCATAGGAACTTGCCTCGTTACTCTTAAAACTCGACCTAACATGTACGTTACGGATAACATAAACGTTCAATCATAGGACCCAAGGAAAGGAATATTACAAGAATTGCGAATTATCAAATTATTATTCTTATCTATATACATATATAAACTTAAATCTAAATAAATACGAATTTAAAGAGACACGGGTGCATCCTGAAAAAAAAAAACTTACATAAGAAAAAAGGATATATCCATTTTCGCCTTTAATAATTACTGCGCAAATTAATTTGACAGAAAGATACTTCTAATAGATGCAACAGAGCAATTAAGAATACCTATATCATTTTCAATATTCAAATAGTTTAGGATAATTTGAAATAAAGGCGATGCTTTGTATACAGTATGTCGCTAATGTATGGAATAAATTCATTATTTCTAAAATAATCGACTTTTGAAAAAAATCCAAAAACAAGTCAATTTTAATTTTTGAATCGTCATCACATGATGTAGATGTAACGAACATTACGTCACCAATATTACCGTGGTGACGTAATCGGCAATTTTTTTAAATGCAACCATGTGTCTCAAAACACCTCATTGGAAAGGTCTTCTAATCGTCTTTACAACGATGTAATTATTTGAATATTTCTACAGGGTCGACCAAAACTGTTTTGGTCGACCCTGTAGAAATAAATATTCAAATAATTACATCGTTGTAAAGACGATTAAAAGACCTTTCCAATGAGGTGTTTTGAGACACATGGTTGCATTTAAAAAAATTGCCGATTACGTCACCACGGTAATACTGGTGACGTAATGTTCGTTACATCTACATCATGTGATGACGATTCAAAAATTAAAATTGACCTGTTTTTGGATTTTTTCAAAAGTCGATTATTTTAGAAATAATGAATTTATTCCATACATTAGTGACATACTGTATGTTAGTTCTATGTGCTTGTTGATAGAATAGTTGATTTCTTCGGGAATTAACTCTAGGGACGTGAAAGTTTAACATTTCCAAACATGAAATACAATCCACCTTGTTATTTAATAATTTGAACAGAAATATCACTGGGTGCATTGCTCTTCTTTTTAAAAGACTACATGTATTGAAACGGTTTAAATAATAACTTTGAGGAAGTTCTCTTATGAAATAGGTACCATCACTTAAAAGACAAGCTGATTTAAAAAAATCTTAGTTGAACTCTTTCCAAATGGTAAATGTGATTGGAGTATATCGGACTCCAATCGATACGGGCTTATTCTAATTTTGACAAAACCAGCGAAGAGAAAAGTATTTTCATCGTTGAAAAGTCATTGAATAATCTCATATTTCTTATAACGAATCCTAAAATTCGATAAGCAGAAGCGATGTAAACGTTAATTTTGGATCAAAGAAAACTCCAAGATCTTTAATCAGTTCTGGTCGATTTAATGTAAAATTTTGTAGGTTATAATTATAAAGTATTGAGGCTTCCTTTCTAGTAAATGTCATTACACTATATTTGTTAACATTTAACGGTAACTTATTTCTTTTGCACCATTCGTTTAAGCGGTTAAGATTTTCTTGAAGCAATAGACAATCATTATAACTAGAGATTTCTTAAAAAAAAATAGGTCATCGGCAAACAATAGATTTGTGACGCTCAAATTACAAACAATATCATTAATAAAAAGCAGAAATAATAAAGGCCCTAAAACCGAGCCTTGCGGGACGCCGGATGTTTCTTTGAAATTCATTGATTTATGCCCTAAGCCCTGAACATAAAGAAAACGATCTGATAGATATGACTGTAAACCATTTAATAAGGAGCCATCAAATCCAGGTGCTGAAAGTTTACTTATTAGAAAATTGTGATCAATTATATCGAATGCTTCAGAAAAGTCAGTGTAAATAACATCAACCTGACTTCTTCTATCCAAAACTTCAGAAATACAATGAGTTATACAGATTAGATTAGTTACAGTAGAGCGACCAGCAATAAAACCATGTTGGGTTGGACTAATGATTTGGTGAAACTGAAATGAAAATATGCACAAGTATTTCAAAAACTTTAGAGAAATTGTTCAGAATTGTGACAGGGCGCTAGGAATTATACTGATTTTGTTACATGAGTACCTACAGTTAACAAACAAAGAATTTCCACATTATTAAATTAACAAACAATTTTGGACGAAATTTCCGTGACAGGTCGATTTTTGATTTTAATTAGGTAAGTGGATTTTCACATAATAATTTAATAAACAGCTTGAACCATCTTCGAGTGAAGACTTCAATAACCTTTTCTTTAAGCAGATCACAATATATGTTTTCAATTTTTATGCTTCACTTGCAGAGATGTTTCCAAAAATGTAACAAGTTTGCTTCAAGTTGAAAAAATATAGGATGTATTATATAAAAAAACTGTCGTCGGTGTCGTCACTCTAAGATGGTTTCACTGTGTATTGAATTATTATGTAAAAATGCAGTAAATTAAAATAAAAATCGACCAGTCTCCAAAAAATTCATTTTAATAAAAATATTCCGACGAACTGCGAACCTCCTTCTTTTTTGAAGTCTGTTAACAATGCGTAACTTTTTGACGATACACGAATTTTTTTTTAATTTTTGGCCAACTTGTGATACAATTTGCAATCAAATCAGTAAGAATTTGGTAATTTCTTAATATAATGCTTTCGATCTTTTTTACTTTTCTATCTGTATACAGATATAAGGAAAGTATAGGAATCATGATTTTTTTCGACCTCCAGTTTTCGACGGATTTTTGACTATTTTTGGGATGATGTGTGTGATGTGTGTGATGTGTGTGTGTGTGGTGTGTGTGTGGTGTGTGTGTGGTGTGTGTGTGGTGTGTGTAGTGTGTGTGGTGTGTGTGTGGTGTGTGTGTGTGTGTGTGTGTGTGTGTGTGTGTGTGTGTGTGGGTGCGTGCGTGCGTGCGTGCGTGCGTGCGTGCGTGCGTGCGTGCGTGCGTGCGTGCGTGCGTGGGTGTGTGTGTGTGTGGGTGGGTGCGTGCGTGCGTGCGTGCGTGCGTGCGTGCGTGCGTGCGTGCGTGAGTGTGTGTGTGTGTGTGTGTGTGTGTGTGTGTGTGTGTGTGTGTGTGTGTGTGTGTGTGTGTGTGTGTGTGTGTGTGTGTCCACCATAACTCATGAACCGATAAAAAAAACAAATTTTAAACCTAAGCTTTATTCTGGCGTCCAATGAACTGATTTGATTTTGGGCATAGTCGGAATATCTGGGGGGTACTTTATTTGTGATCATTTTTATATTTTATGGAATATATCTGTTATTTACGTTTGAAGAAGAAAATTCTTTTAATAAAAGTTACTTACAATATCATTATCAATATTTTTTGTTTTATACAAAATTTTCCTAAAATGGTCCGTATTCGAGAAATTTGACAAAATGTAAAAAAAAATAATTTTTTATAAAAATTGTTCAAATAAAAGTTGTTTGTAATCCTCTATAATTTTTATCCTATACATAATTTCTCTCAAATTAACCGTTTTCGAGATATTTGAGAAAATGTGTAAATTTTGAATTTTGAAGAAAACTCAAAAACGGATAAAGGAAAAAACATTAAATTTTAAACTTAAGTTTTATTTCGGCCTGACGTGAAATGATTAGATTTTGGACAAGGTCGAAACATCTGGGGGGTAGTACTTTATGGGAGGCCGTTTTTATATTTTATGGAATATATCTGTTATTTATGTTTAGAGAAGAAAATTGTTCAAATAAAAGTTACTTCTAATATTATTATCTATAATTTTTGTTTTGTTAAATGTTCCTAAAATGGCCCGTATTCGAGAAATTTGACAAAATTTGCAAAATTCTGATTTTTAAGAAAATTGTTAAACTAAAAGTTGTTTGCGATATCGATCTCTATAATTTTGCTTATACAGGGTGTTTCCGAACTTGGCGTCCAAATTTGTAGGGGTGGTAGTTCGCATAATTTGAGAGAGATTGGCAGATTTCATTTTTCTAAAAAATTATAATAAACAAAATAGTGCCATTATAAAAAAAATCAAAAAGCGGGTCCTACCCTGAGCGCGTAGCGCAATATTTGCCTGATCGGTTACTCATCGGGATTTACAACTCAAAAACAGATGCGATTTGCAAATTTCTCCCTCCGCCCGGCCGGTATCGGAAGACGTAGCCGATTGTTTTTATAGTGCGTATTGCTCGAGGCGGTCCCATCGCTGTGCAGGACCGTACCTGTTTAATTTTTTTTATTAATTTTTAATTATTTTTATTTGAAATATTTTGGAAAAATGAAATCTGTAAATCGGTCTCAAATTATGCGAACTACCACCCCTACAAATTTGGACGCCAAGTTCGGAAACATCCTGTATATCATTTTTCTAAACTGGACCGTAATGGAAAAACTGGAGGAAAAGTGCTAAATTTTGAATTTTTTAGTATTTTCGTTTTCAATGAATATCTATAGAAAAATGTTTCGAGGTAGATGTATGTAGAAAATGTATATATGTATTTAGTTTATCCTCTAAACATTTATAGAGGTGCTGCAATAGGTTGTACAAAAAAACCGGAAAAAGCCTACAATAACTAGATAGGAAAGTCATGTTTTGGACACATCAGATTTTTAAACATAGATTTTGATCATTTTTTCGTTCCTATCTGTATGTAGATAAGGAAAGTATAGTAATCATGATTTTTTTCGACCTCGGGTTTTCGACGGATTTTTACGTTCCCTGAATCCGTTTTGACTATTTTCGCGATGATGTCTGT